GTCTTATTCTGATCTATAAACTATATTATTGTAAAGTTTCATCAAAATCCGTTCACTAGTTTTTAAGTGATTTATCAATCCAGACTCACAAAATTTCGCGGTTATAATATTAGTCAGATAAGATTAGATGTTAATATACGAATTGACAAGTATTATTCCGAAGTTTATTACATTTGTGGATATAATATATTTATAAGGAATTTAAATAGTACATATTTATTAATAACTCACCTTTGTTTACAGCTACTGACATATTTTTTATATTTTGAGGTTATAACAGTGGAATGAAAACAAAAACAGCGCCACCCACGTACCGCGACTGTCCGCAACCGGCTTACGATCACGTGTGGTTGGTTGATTATTTGTGATAGCTGTAGGTATCTTGTAGTCATGGCGCTATTTGTTAATCACAGTATTTTACACTAGCTGTTAGCTCCGACTCCGTTTGTATTGTTTGAGATAAAAGATGTTATATCATATGATATAATATGTTAGTTATCATGATACAGTTTTGTTACGTTCAGCCGTTTAGTCGTGGAAAGGTAACAAACAAACGGGCAAATAAACACTTTCCATATTTACAAATTATTTCATATTTACAAATTAGGCAATTTAGGAAACTCAGATTAATAGTTCTCTCAATAATATATATAAAGTTCAGCTTTATTTAAATAACGTATGTTTATTTTATAAAATAGTATAGTTTAGGGGGGTCCGGCGGGGGGTTGGAACCACAATAAGGGTCTGGCAATGAGCAGAGCAAGTTATAATACTGTTACGAGCAATATGTGAAAAAATGGAGCATCTTAAAATAACGAATTTGATATGAAATTGTATACGCCGCCGCGCCGATGTTACCCAATATACGGTTTCAATAAGTCTGGTAGGATAAGGAACCAAGAAAACTGTCTGGCAATTTAGGAAACTCAGTTTAATAGTTCTCTCAATAATATATATAAAGTTCAGCTTTATTAAAATGACGTAAGTTTATTTCTAAAATAGTATAGTTTAGGGGGGTCCGGCGGGGGGTTGGAACCACACTACGTGTCTGGCAATGAGCAGCGCAAGTTATAATAATGCTACGAACAATATATGAAAATATGGAGTTTTTTAAAAAACGAATTTGATATGAAATTTTTTACACCTTTGTTACCTGTTACCTGCTAAAGGGACCACGATCCAGGTTTCATGTTTGGGGATCGTTCTTATCTGTGTTAGGGACACACATACAAGAACTTTCACGTTTACTAATATGACGTATGTCTGGCCGTCGTGGGCTCTTGCTCTATAACAATTACATACATACACAATATAGTATAGCGTCAGTCTTCATAGCGTAGTGGCCCAGTGATTTGCTAGCTTGAATTACGCCTATGTCGTGAGTTCAAATTGGCCAGATTTATTTTTTGACAAAAAAAAATGCCTTTATATTTTTATCGACAATGTCTCTGGCTGGGGGAAGGGAATTGTTAGTAATGTGGACTGATATTACTTGACCCCATTGTTAGCAATGACCATGTCAAGTTGACCTCCAAGCGGTTCCTCCTGGAAATCACAATGATAAATTCCAGGTCAATTTATCACGATGGGCTACCTGACCTGACATCATGTTCATCTTATCATCCTTCTCTGGTGCTCCACCAGCATATACCAATAGCGCATTATGATCCATAAAAAAAAGTATCTCTGGCCACTCCATCTCAGATAACAGTCCTGATGGTATGTCTGTTTGTTTACGAAGTAGAGGTATTGATTCATTAATTGGTACGTATGTATTTGCATTGTACTTCAAAGTCAACTAGATTGAACTTGATTGGCATTATTAACACTATGCACTTATGTATGTATGTATAATAATATTACAAAGCTGAAGAGTTTGTTTGTTTGAACGCGCTAATCTCAGGAACTACTGGTTCGAATTGAAAAATTCTTTTTGTGTTGTATAGTCCATTTGTCAAGAAAGGTTTTAAGCTATATAACATTACGCTACGACCAATAGAAGCGAAGCATCAGTGAAAAATGTTGCAAAAACGGGGAAAATTGTTCATAACCGTTTACGCAGCGCACGCAACGAAAGCTGAGGCACAGATAACATAATATTACATAGCTGAGGGCTTGCGTTAGTTAGTTAATATATGTAGGAAAGAATTATTCCTCTTTAAATGATCTAAAAAAATGTCCGCGACAGTATAACTATGTAATATTATATTATCTGTGGTATAACTATATAACTTTTGATTGACTCACTAACCTTTAATCGCGATAGTGATTGATATCCACGCGAAATCGCGGGCAGAGCTAGTGTATACATACATTACATACATAGGTAATGTTTGTACTGTGTACCTAACTACATAAGATAACAACTATCAACTCTTAGTGACAAGCAGAATGAGAGAGAAACTTGCACTTTGTACTTATGATAATTTGTATTGACGTATTTTATATGTATTTTTTATTTGTATAATAAATAGACATAAACTTATGAATAAGTACTTAGAATACATGTAGATATATGTAGTACTTAACCTACTGAACTGAAGATTAAACTTGTTCTGGCGTTAAACAGCTTGCTTTGTCAGCTGTGCAGTGCTTATTTATATACACTCGCTAGCAAAAGTATAGTATCACTATGTAATATTATATTATCTGTGGTACACTTGTGATACACTTACTTGGAATTAATTCCGCGCGATCTTGAGTAATAAGTAATAACTAGTTAAGAATTATAGAAATTGTATCATTTGAAAGGTCAGCGCGGAATCAAATTCAAGATTATTCCATACCTTTGCACGCAAGTGTATATAAAAAAAATCTATTCAAAAGAGCAACACACAAGTTTCTTGTTCAATCTTCTTGTGATGAATCTGCGTCCTGAATGAGTGGTAGAATAAAAAATATGACTATTCAAAAGTGCTTGTATTAAGTTTATTTGAATAAAGATTATTTCTTGCGGTGTGATGTGGCAATGGGGCACCCCCAACTTCAGTAGCATCCATAAGAAAAAAAAAATTTAAAACCCAGACTAATACGATCTTACTCATGAATACAAATGTTTGTACCGTGTGAGGATTCGAACCCGTACCATCAGAAATAAGCCGGTGTGCTATATACATAGAATCTATTATGAATATAACATTGTCTAATGGTTTGTATTTATTTACGATAAAATATATATCTATGTATATATGTGTAGATAACTGATACAAATTATCAGTTATCTAGTACCCATATAACACGAGCTTTAGCTAGCTTAACTTGGGTTGAGACTATTATTATATTATATTATTTATGATTATGATTGTCTCCATTGGTCTAAGAGTTACTAGGCATATTACTTATTTACAAAAAAAAATATTTAAGTATTTATATCAGTGGTCTAGTGCCCATAATACAAGCTCTACTTTACTTGGACCTAGATGGCGCTGTGTGAATTGTCTTGGATTATTATTATTATCATTGCTTCTCATCGTTATCAACAGAACAGTCTCCATCCTGTAAAAATATTCTACAGGTAATAAGAAACGAACTTTTTATTCCCTGGAGTCACCGTGCGGGTGCCAGATCCATCATGTGGTAGACAGGGAAAGAGCAGTCTCTCTCTCTGTCAGAGCAGTCACTCCGAGCAGTTCCTGGTACTTGTGACCCGGGTGTAGGTTTAAGGACCCCATCGCCGACGTACTTCATCATTCACGTTGAATGTTTATATTTCATTCCCTGCTTAAATTCGGTAGAAGACTGCTAGTGCAGCTTCAGATACATGTTCTGGTACTTAATCAAAGTATGAACTTCCTTTTGAATTGAGACGAAGCGATGACGACCGTGCATGGCAATAGTTGTTCATGCATGGGATTTTGATTTAATGTTAGTCATAGACACCTATATAAATACCTATATATTGTAAATAAACTGGCTTGAAAAAAAAGTAATTCAATCGAGTTTCTTGCCAGTTCTTCTCAATTGGATCTATATACCGAACTGGACGGTAGGGAAAAAATATATAATGTAAAAACTTGACGTTCATAAGCGGCTAAAATGTCCTACATGAATAAATGATTTTTGAATTTGAATTTGAATAACACGGCTGACAATGGAAAAATCAATATACCAATTATATCGCCAAGTCAATAAAAGAGTAAAGTATAAAAAAACAACTTTATTGATATCAAATACAATAAATAGTTTCACAAAATATAATCTCCACAGAATATTCTTATCCAACACTATCTAGACCTATATCATATGTAATATAAATAACAAGTATGACTTTGTGCAATTATTATGTACTTCAGTCATATAAATTCATTTTTGAACATACCTTTATTTCTATCGATTCTGAATTTGCAAGTGGAAAAATAATATTTCAGTTATTTACATTTATTATACATATATTTATATAAAATATATTTAATTGACACATATATTTAATATATATATTGTTACTACACAGTATATATATCTAGTTTTAAATTATGTACATAAAAAGATCATAGACTTGATTTCCTGTACTTTGCACCGTAGATAAATTACGGTAAAACATATTATCATTTTTCGTAACTTTTAATAAAACATAACATCACTCTATTGAGAAAACCTTGTAAGAGACAATGTGAAAACGGATTTTTACGAATTGTTATTCATAAAAGCGAAAGTATTTCTGTCTGTTTGTTAACATTTTTCAACGCATCGTAATCGCAGTAACACTAGACTTCCAAGTAGATCCAAACTCTGTTCATTGCCTGATTGTGCCTTGTTGTGTAGCAATATGGGTGTAGACGCAATAACGGTCGGAATTTGATCACCATTAGAGAAGGTCGTAACGGTAGTCAAGTTTCCACACCGAATATTTGTGACCACAAATATTCGGTGTGGAAACTTGTGGAGACTTGAGTGTTTCGCCTCAACAAGGCACAATCAGGCAATGAACAGAGTTTGGATATACTTCACACATACTAATTGTAGCGGAATTAAACACAATAATATAAATATATTAAGTATATATTATTTTAATTTATTCATTTCAAACTTAAAAAAAGAATTCCTCTTTATAACATTAATATAGATATATGACTGACCATTATAGTTTATTACGATATAAGTGCGTTATGATGTTTATAACACACTAGCCGGAATTTCAGCCCGAGCCAGACGAGGGCGTAATAAAGCCGAGTGTGTTAAAGACGCACGTATAACGTACGAAGTTTTTCAACACAGTTTTCAGGAAACAGAATAAAATATAATATTTTATTTTGTTAATTTTGGCACTTTCCCGCTGTTTCACTACTGGCTGACGCTGGGCGGGCAGAATGAAATTTGATAAAATAGCATATAATGTGGTTATGGAATATAACTTCATTACTTAAGTTTATAACGCACGCGTGTTTTATGCACTGTTTATATATCGGTAACCGGTGTTTAATTACACTTTACAAGTGTGTTGAAAAATACATTATATAACTGCTATGTGAGGTATACAGTTATATCTAAAGAGCCGTCTCTACTATAAAATTATGTTTGCCATATACGCGGTTTTCCCAGTGATGTGACGCCGTCGATGAGTTAGTATGGTAACTATATTAAATTATACGCTTTCGACCAGCACAGCGATGCCTTGTCCACCTCCGATGCAGGCTGATCCGATGGCTCTCTTCAGTCCACGTCGTCTGTGGGTAACAAGTAAGTAATTAGCTCATATTTTGTCTAGGTAGACTTTGTATAAAGTCTAAGTATAAGCTTTAAATCCGATGGTCGCTGGTTCGATTCTTCGGACGGTACAAGTATTTGTATTCATTGTTTGTATCGGTCTGGATGTTTTCTATGTATATTATGTATGCATTGGACTAGATGACGCTATGAGAATGGTCCAGGATTATTATTATTTTTATTTACACTATTGTCTCATTTTCTCAGCGTTTGCTGGTTTTTTATTCCCTATTCATCAAAATCATACGAAAAATAATAATAGTTAAAGATTTTTCGTGATACATTTTAGTTTTTATAAATAAGGCGATTAGTCTAAGACATATCTGTACATCTCAGTTGAGATACAGCTAGCTTAGCTTGGCACTAGATGGCTTTGTGTAAATTGTTATAATAATTGAGAAGAACCAGTAAGTAAAAAACTCAACTGTATGTAAATTGTCCTGAGATATTATAATTATTGACAAGAACTGACACGAAACTCAATTGAACTCTTACCTGAGTTCGTGAACTAAGTGCGCGGTGATGCGGGCCCCGGAGGCCCCGAGCGGGTGTCCGAGCGCGGTGGCGCCACCGTTCACGTTGAGTTTCTCGTGGTCCAGCTTCAGGGCCTTGGCGCACGACAGGGTCTGGGCTACGAACGCCTCGTTGATCTACACCAACAGAAAACATACATAATAACTAGCTGCTCCCGCGACTTCGTTCGCGTGGAATTTATCTTTATTTTTCTAAAATAAAAGTAGCCTAAGTACTCCTTATTACATCAGCTACCTGCCAAAAAAGTTCGGTCAAAATCAGTCCAGCCATTTCAGAGATTAGCAGGAACTAACAGACAGACAGACAAACAAAAAATCTGAAAAATATTATTTTGGTGTATGTACCGTATTTATATTCATATGCATGTAGTAAAAACGGTTATTTCAATATTACAAACAGACACTCCAATTTTATTTATATGTATTGATATCCTATCAGATCGACATCCACCCGGTTTATTGATCAAACGGAAATGAATAATGAAACAATTAGACAAAATGTTTTTTTATTATTATAAATGGGTTTGCGCTTGGTCTTACCTGATAGTAAATGATAGCAAGATCTATGATGTAGCGCGCTTATCTAATAAGGAGTAACTTAGGCTAGTTTTATTATAGAAAAATTAAATTTAAATTCATTATAATAAAAAAGAATAACATTTATTACATCACACATCCCATACAACAATAATTATGCACAGCAGCATATAAATTATTATTTGTAGGGGAAACGTAATGTCATTAGGTAAGTGAAAAAGAGGGGGGGGGGGGGACATACGGGCTCTAATATAACAATCAGTGCATACAATAGGTATAGGGTAGATTTCAAACAATTTATTTACCTCAATTAAGTCAATATCGTTCAACGTGAGCTTGGTAACTTTTAGTAGATTCTCGATGGCGGGCACTGGACCGATACCCATGATGGTGGGGTCCACCCCCACGTACGACCAGCCGACCAATCTCGCGAGAGGCTTCAGGTTCTTGGCTGCTTCCTCGTTAGCGAGGACTAAGGCACCCGATCCGTCGCTGATACCCTGTTAACCAAGCAAGTCATTATTACTAGTTTTTTTATAATAGCGTAGCGTAGCATAGACGGTTGAATGCGTAGCGGTTTCTATGTCGATTGTCGGATGCCTAATCCTTGTTAATGTAAATTTAATTAAAACAATATTTATTTAAAAGAGCAAAGCACAAGTTTCTTGCACATTCTTCTTGTGATGAGTCTGCGTTCCGAATGAGCGGTAGAATAAAAAAATGTGTCTATTCAAAAGTGTTTATATTAAGTTTATTTGAATAAAGATTATTTCTATTTCTAATAAACAATTTGGTAGCAAACAACCATATGATATGGTCCATCTGATGGCAGATGGTTATCGTAGCCTATAGACGCTTGAATCACCAGGGGTATAATGTCCACGTTGCCGACCCTTAAGAAACTTCATGAAAAACCCCATGCTGTAGTCTCGTGCGAAAACCTCAGCAGGTAGTTCATTACACAATCTAAGTGTACGCAGGAGGAAGCTCCTCTGAAACAGCACTGTCTGTGACCACAAAGATTCGAACGTGTGGATGAATTCCCTGTCCATGGCGAGTGGTTCTAGTTCGAATAATTTCGACCATAAATAATTTCATATTCAGTAAGACTATAGACAAACAATATTAATCTATTCACAATTTCACCACATACTGACAATAAATAAAAGAGTATATATGTATGTGTGTGTAATGTTTTTTTATTGATTTAATGTATTTTTTTTAAAGTATTAGTTGTCTGCACTCCTGTATATAAACAATAAGTGTGCAAAATGTCATACCCTTTCTTCAGCGCTATATTCGTAAAAATGGTAAAAAACTTTGCTTCACGTATTAATATGTATATTTACGGCTTCGGTCTAGGAGTTTTGTATATTACGTATTTACCACCAAACAACCATACAGGAACTCATTGAAATACACTCAAAATTTAATACAAATCGCTCCAGCCGTGTAGGAGTTAAGTGACAAAAATACAGAAGAATTATATTAAGATTTTTCAAGAAATCGTCATGAAGTAATAGGATATACAAATAGGTATCAGTAGAGAGATAACAATGTAATCTTGAAGGTTACATGTCCGTACAACGCTGTCCGTGTGTGGTGTGTGTGTATGTATGTATGTGTGTATGTACTCAAGACTTACGAGTACTGGTTACTTTATCATTGTTTAAACACAGGGTATTATGTATACCACGATAATAGCAACTGTCAAACGAAATGCAAAATCAGTATATATACAGTATGTATATTTGACGGCCTCTGTGATCTAGCAGTTTAGCACACCGCCTTATGATAGTCGCGGGTTCGATTCCTCGCACGGTACAAACATTTGTATTCAGGAGTATGATTGTTTGTTACGGTCTGAGTATTTTCTATATAATATGTATCTATTTACGAAAAAATATATATCTATGTATTTGTATCAGTTATAGTACTCAAAACACAAGCTTTAGCTAACTTAACTTGCTCGTGCTCGTGAACGGTCGCAAGCAGCGACCGTTCACGAGCATAACGGGTCAGCCAGCAATCACTGCGCTGAATCATATTCTAGGGACCTCAATGTCCCGTCCCACCAGCAATCACTGCGCTCAACCATATTCTAGAGACCCCAATGTCCCGTCCGACCAGCAATCACTGCGCTCAACCATATTCTAGAGACCCCAATATTTCGTCCCACCAGCAATCACTGCGCTCAACCATATTCTAGAGACCCCAATGTCCCGTCCCACCAGCAATCACTGCGCTCAACCATATTTTAGAGACCCCAATGTCCCGTCCTACCAGCTATCACTGCGCTCAACAATACTCTAGAGACCTCAATGTCCCGTCCGACCAGCAATCACTGCGCTCAACCATATTCTAGAGACCTCAATGTCCCGTCCGACCAGTAATCACTGCGCTCAACCATATTATAGGGACCCCAATGTTCCGTCCCACCAGCAATCACTGCGCTCAACCATATTCTAGGGACCCCAATGTCCCGTCCCATCATGCCGCGGCCTGTCTGGACATTTAAGATAGCATGACTGACTCATCACACTCATCCACACAGTCTAAAAAAAGTATACGTTCAGATAGATCGCATTTTATTTGTATAAAATGTTTTCGCCTATTTCAACGGCCAAACAGCTTGTTTCTTAAGCTGTTTAACGGTTTAAATGTGCCTTTAAGCTTTTAATTCTAATTACATAAAAAGACTACTCACCGATGCGGTTCCGGCAGTGACCAAACCTTCTTTCTTGAACACAGGGGGCAGTTTCTTCAGACCTTCGAGAGTGGTCTGCGGACGCGGATGCTCGTCGACCTCCACGTTCACTTGCTTCTTCTTCACTGTCAGGGACACTGGTATGATTTCAGATTTGAACACGCCAGCGTCGTTTGCTGTGGATTTAACGAATATTTAATACGTATCCAAGTGAGTTAGTCATAGAAATATAAAACAATAGCTGTGCCCGCGATTTCACTCGCGTGAAATTTATAGGCTATGTTATTACGATGTATAAGATATATTATAGTAAAATTTCATTAAAATCCATTCAATAGTTTTGCGTGAAAGAGTAACAAACATTCATCCACACTCATAAAATCCTGCGTTTATAATATTAGTAAGATTCTTTATTCAAGTAAACTTTAGAATAGTCACATATATATTATTAATTCTACCACTTATTATTTATTTTTAATTCTACCACTCATAATCCAGATCTTCACAAAATGAATGAGCGTTTGCGTGTTGCTCTATTACTCATTTATATATAATCAAAGATATCTCCAATCAAAGATAAATCCAATATTATATATCAAAGAGCATCTCTATATTCGCAACACAGTATTATACTTTTGAAGAAACGATTACAATAAACAATAAACGTTTCGACAATATATACTCACAAGTCTTCCATCTCTGCTGGGACCTCAGCGCGAAGTTATCCACTTCATCCCTGGTAATACTGAACTGGGCGCCCAACTTCTCTGCAGTCATGCCCATGGGCAGTCCACAGTAAGAGTCGGTGAGTCCAGCCCACAGAGTGTCTTCGAATGCCAGATTCGTGCCCAGGGCTGTTCCGAATCGCACATTGCGGACCGCGAAGGGAGCTTGGGACATGTTTTCGACACCGCCGGCTACTGAGACGTTTGCCGCGCCAGTCAGAATGTCCTATTAATATTTAAAATCATTTATGAACTAGCTATAACTTCGTCTGTAGAATAAGAAACAGACAGACAGACTAAAATATGCAGTGTGATCTATGAAATTGTAACACTCTTTAAACAGAGTCCATGTGTGCATTATTAATTTGTTATCTATATGTAAAATTATTTTATATGCATGTGCAATTATGAATAAATAAAATTAATATAATAAAAAATCTTTGTAAAAATAAATTTACATTTAAGGACTTTTTATATAATAACATTTTTTTTAATCTTCCCCACATTCGGAAGCTGTTTTAGCACAAGAAGAACAAACCAGAATCTATAAATAATGTTACATATTAATGTTATATTTGACGACCTCGGTGGTCTAGCGGTCTAGCACACCGCTCTACGTCGCGGGTTCGATTCCTCGCACGGTACAAACATTTGTATTAATGAGTATGATTGTTTGTATCGGTCTGGGTGATTTTTATGTATAATATGTATGTATTTACAAAAAAAATCTATGTATATGTATCAGCTATCTAGTACCCATAACACAAGCTTTAGCTAGCTTAATTTGGGTCTAGATGGCGCTGTGTAAATTGTCCTGAGATTATTACTATTATTATTATAATAGACACCTGCATAAGTAAACAATATTAACAAACTGGTTATAATAAAAAAAGAAATTTAGTTGAGTTTATTGCCAGTTTTCAATTGAGTCTATAGCCTGAACTGGACGGACAGAATAAAATTATAAAACAAATTCATATCCTTTAAAATACCCTACATGAATTTTTTTTCTATTGTTACGTCACACTTATTGGTCTTTGCATGATGTTTTTTTACTTTTTAAAACGCAAATCACATTCACTAGGGTTTATAGTGCATGTATCATAATCATTTTATAAGTTTTCTGTAGAAAGGAAATTCGCCATCAGGATCTGTTCCTGGCTCGGTATTGGTGTCCATCGAGATAGCTGATCCGCTTATTATTTACTATAGCAGTTTACCTCACTGTCACATCTAAGTCGATCAAACTAGACCAAAAGTACGTCACAAAGAAAGCGACAGATATAAATAAAAAAAAAGTCGATAAAACTGCTCATTTTGGGACTACATTCCGCTGTATGTTATGGCCAGAGTTGTTTATATTTGTATTCATCAGCGTCTGTTTTCTATTTATGGTACATATAATATAAGTATCAAAAATTATATTTAAGTAATTTTAGCTGTTCAATTATTCACAGTGCAATCTAATTCTACAATTCAGCAATCAGTTATTTGGTTCTATAACCACAGATTAATATAATATGTATTACATAGTTGTAATTTAATATAATTATCTATATTTTTTTTAATGTAACGGTTGGTAATAAATATTTTCTTTCCTTTTTGTCTTTAATTTAGTTTCTACGTTTATTAAAAAAAAGCATTAAATTTGAGTTTATGCAGAAATAGAAATAGAAATAGAAAATCATTTATTCAAATAAACTTAATTTAAGCACTTTTGAATAGTCATAACAATTTGTTTTTTATCTACCACTCGTTCGGAAAGCTGTCTCATCACAAGAAGAACGAGCAAGAAACTTGTGTGTTGCTCTTTTAAATAATCCTTGTAAGTTTACATTTACAAGTCGAAACGTGTGAATATGTGTGTGTGTGCAGATTTTTTCAATTGAATCTTATACTGAACTGGACGGTAGGGAAAAAATATTAATACATTAAGCTTGACGTTCATAAGCGGCTAAAATGTCCTACATTAATAAATTATTTTTGATTCGATTTGATTCATCTCAGCTCAATCAGTTACGAATGGGCCGTTGGTGTTGTAGGTATATATTAAGATAACATATGTACCCAAAGAGAGGTATCTATTTATAAGCAGTTATCTATTATTATTAATGTGTTATTTACGTCATTAATTTGCTCGTGGCTGTGACCTTAAATTACTATTAATTGAAATTAATTAATTCATTAATGATTTCAAAATAATGTAATTTCTAATTCTAATATCTGATTATTTATTTATTTCTTTGTACACATTACATCAATGGTTGTAAACAAGACAATTAACAGCAACCCCTGCACTAAGCTCAAGGCTTGTGTCGCAGGAAACAGAAATCCTTAATTACAAAAACATTAATTTATTTTTTTTTTTTAAATTAACTAAAAAATTAATTTAATTAATATTTAAACGAAAACTAGAAATTAATTCATCAATGATTTAAAATTATTATTATTTCCTAATTCTAGTATTTGATTAATTTAATTAATATTTAAACGATAATAAGAAATTAATTCATTAATGATTTCAAATTATTATTATTTCCTAATTCTAGTATTTGATTAATTTAATTAATATTTAAACGATAATAAGAAATTAATTCATTAATGATTTAAAATTATTAATATTTCCTAATTCTAGTATTTGATTAATTTAATTAATATTTAAACGATAATAAGAAATTAATTCATTAATGATTTAAAATTATTAAAATTTCAAATTCTAGTATTTAATTAATTTAATTAATATTTCAACGAAAACTAGAAATTAATTCATTAATGATTAATGATTAATTCTAGTATCTGATTAATTTGATTATAATTAAAACGAAGAAGAGAACAATGTTCTATGTTAAGAATGTTAGAATCGACTTCAATAACTGAAGTTAGTTTTTTGATTCTTATATTTTTTTCCGTTTTCTGGATCGAATATTTTCCGTTTTCTATTTCTATATTTCTTTATGTAGAAATAGAAAACGGAAAATATTGATATACTACTACTTGTTTAAATATATACCCACATTAGTCCACTAATATTAATTTAAATGATTTATTGGACTATCTTAAAAAATATTATGACTGATGGTTATTTATAGATAGATAGATAGAGAAATATGTAGGTAGCTCATACATAGCTCAGTTTAAGATTATTATTTTCATATAATTATTTTATTATTTAAAATATATATTTATATACCATTTATAAAGTTCATAACCATATGATATATATGGTGTTAAAACCCGTTGAACTATATTAATAATTAATTACCATCAATTATATTTGAACTTCGACACATTGCTAAGCTTCGCGGCACAAACCTTTGAAGATAAACAGATTAAATTGTCAAGGAATCCGTTATCTTACGCTATTAGTACTGTAAATCCAATATAATACACAATAATTTATTACTAATTTATATTATCATGATTTAGATATACATTTATTACGAGTCACCCTGCTGACCGTTACCTAAGCGTGTAATCATGCCAATAAATTTATTATCTCTACCTATCAAAGTCCATTAAATAAAATCAAGATGAAAACGTATAATGAATCAACACTAGAGATGTTTATATAATACTAGCCGCGACTTCGTCCGCGTGGAGTTTAACTTTATTTTTCTAAAATAAAAGTAGACTAAGTTACTCCTTATTACAGCAGCTATTTGCCAATAGAAGTCCCGTTAAAATCGGTCCAGCCATTTCTGAGATTAGCCGGAACATACAGACCGATAGACGAAAATTGTAAAAAATGTTATTTTGGTATAATAAAATTTATTTTTTATATTTATATTCGGTTATTTGAATATACAAACAGATACTCCAATTTTATTTATATGTCTATCAAAGTCCATTAGATAATATCAAGATGAAAACGTATAATGAATCAACACTAGAGATGTTTATGTAATGTGATTTTTAGTCGACATCAATAATCGATCGACTGTAAAACAGATAATTGAAAATTAATGCCGATACAAGGACATTAAGTGGCGCCGGCGCCGGCGCCGTTGTACAACTTTATATATCTTGACTTATATTTGTTTGCCACCATATAGCAGTATAAAAAATATATATATATTACAGGATTGCTAGTGTATATAACCCCCTCGGACTATCCCCCGGCCAATAAATACTAAGTTCAAAACACAGTTGTAAATGTCAAATTTTAAAACAGTGTTATCACCTGCACAGGGGTAGCGCTGTACCTGCGATACCGACTACATTTAATAATACCTATATTTTCTTAAATTTGTGTTGATGCCTTTTAAATAACACCCAAAAAATTATTTCTGAGTAACCTATAAAAATGGATAATTTATATTAATTTACGTCAGTGCCGCGATACTATTTAAAAAATGCAAAGAGCTGGTAACATCGGTAATGTCAAATTTGTATCCAGGATTAAAAAACAGAGTATAGAACCGATTAAAAAAATAAGACTGTGGACATAGAGTAATGTTTGACGTATTACCTGTGCGCTGTTGACAATAGCCTGGAATCCAGAGCCGCAAAGTCTGTTCACACCCAGTACGGGTTTCTCTTGAGGTATGCCAGCTTTCAGGGCCGCATGTCGTGGAGTAAAGATGCCGTCAGTTTGTGAAGCCTGTATGGGATGAGAAACAGATTTTTTTTAATGTATGTAAGTGGTATAGCTGAGTACCAGTGTATGATGATAGAATGAGCATGTAATCACATCATTTAACTCATAGCGATGAATTTACCAGGTATTAATCACGATGGTTTCAAGGGATAAGCAATGACAATGTGGGCGTCTTATCAGACCACTCTAGTTCTAGAATTGCAATTCCTTGTAATTATTATAAAGACAGCCTGTATTTTATGGTTAAATCTTTAAAACTACGCAACAGATTTTGAATGTTTTTTTTAATACATAGAGTCATTCAAGAGGAAGGTTTATATGTATAATACATGTACACCCATGCGAAGCCAGGGTGGTTAGCTAGTTGATAATATAGCTTTCCAAAGGTGAATATTTAAAAAAATGTATTTATTTTATCAATTATGAACATAAAATAAAATCTTTACTATGCAGGTATACTGTTGGATAACAAAAATTGTGTGTCATTATTTTTTATTGTCACTTTGAATGGTTATTTAATACCCATAGAGGCATCTCTGCTTAGTTTGGGAATATACAATAATGTTCAGGACTTCTCCTATTTAATTCCTTACCGACATGACTTGTCCAACAGCAACAGAGTCAACTTGCGCGGGCGCCACTCCAGCCTCTTTGAGGGCACCTACGATGGACAGGGTTTGCAGTTCCGTAGCCGATGTGTTCCGGAACACTCCGCCAAACGTCCCGAATGGGGTACGTTTGGCACCCACAATGAATACACCTGTAACAATATGGTGTTATTATGGCCATTCATTTTTTAAAGAAACATGATGTTTTCCAGACAATGGACATATTCCAAACAATAAGACCTCAGAACTACATAACTACCTATGTATTTTTAAGACCTAAGATTTTAGTTTTATTAAAATTAACTGCATACAAGGTCTAGGGGTTTAGTATAGAGCTTGGTTGTGGATTTGATTCCTTGCTTGTTGCAAACATTATATTCTTGAGTATGATTGTTTGTTGGTCTAGTTTTGTAATGATCTACATGTCTTCTATGTATATAATACCCAAAGAAAATGTATATATCTATGTCAGTTGTGTGAAATTGTGTTGTGTAAATTGTCCTGAGATATTATTAATAATTACCATTTTCATTTTCAATTTTGAAGCCATCTTATAGGCTGAGTATATGCGACTACTGTATCACCTTATGCATAAAGATTTCTTATTTATTTTCAAACACACTATCATGTCATATTATTTTCAAGCATTAGATTTTTAATGTTTTAAAGTTGTATTCCACCACATCTAATGAGATATAACATTTATTTTGTACAAAGTCAATGTGAGATAAGGAAATGACTGTCCAAGTATATCTATCAGTTGTCAAATACTGGTAGATGTTGCCAAAAATCCCAAACTGGGAATGTTTGGCACATATAAAAGCATTTTACATTCAATTCCTATTCAATTATCTTGTTTAGTATTTAACTGAGTTGGTAGTACACTATTCAATTGTAAAAAGAATTATCAGAAACTAGAATTAGTGTAACTAAGAATAAAGTAGCAAAACAAACCACTGGGCAGAATACCATACAGTTTTAAAACAGACCAGTTAATACCTTAGCCATAAATGTATTTAACATATGGAAAAAAAATACAGTCGAATTTCGAATCTCATTTTTTTTAATTGGTTCGTAACATAAGGAATATGCAAAGAGTATGTTTTTTGGGTGTTCCTTAGTGATAATTTCGAAGCCTATATTTTTACAGTATCTAATTTATGTATCTTGTACTTGTAGTAAACACCGGTTAGCGCTGTGTACATAAATAATAAAAATATTACGTCGACAAGGCAAGAACATGTGATTGGACTTCGCTCTGTGAAAGTCAAAGGTGCAATGTTGATATCTTGATTACTTTAAAAACATATTATTACTAATAAATTAATGCAATTTACTCTACATTCCTAGTAAGTTTCCATAAATTTATAGTTATTCGCATAAAATATCGATATCTTTTATTATGTCTACAATCAATCAAGCCACTTGGAATTTGACCCCTGGATTCTAAACAAAATTCCAATTGCAATTGTTCGAAATTTAAATGTGATTTAACATTATTAACTCACCCTTCACTGCTACAGACATGTTTGAATTTGATTTTCGAATTTATTTATTAGAAAATAACAAAAGAACACAGCACCGGGAAAAGAGCGCTTTTATTTTATGCCGCTCAACAAGTTCTGTAGAGTGAAGTTTTCAATAAACTAAATGAAACGAACGAAACTACGATTACGAGATCAAAAGAATGATGTATGAAATGTATTGAATGAATTCATTCTAAGTTATTTGAATGAAATATAAAATATGAATGATTTATCTACTGCTTGAGGAAGATTTTCATATATATTTTTTTGTTTGTTTTATTTATCCTTATAGGAAAGGCAAAGACTCTAAGGCCATACAGCCGTATTGGTCAACTTTCATCAAGTTGATGTCACACGTGACAATTGAATTTGACACGAACGACGAATTAATTTTCATTCTGCGATCCTGTTCCATTCCATGAATGATTCAGTGACATCAGTTTTTAAGTGTTAGCATATTAATAACTTTTTATTCCCATATAGCTGTTTTTATAATGAAAATAATGTAATGAAAAAGCACTTAATCGTAATGAATCAAACTAAACGATGTGTTTTAGGAGTAATAAAATAATCTCAGTAGATTATTGTTCACACATACTTAGAAATATAGAACTACGTAACATTTGAATAAAAAAACAAATGCCGTAACTTCTTGCAAGTAATATAACTACTTTACTTAAGATTGCAGTTAGCAACACTGTATACTTCAGTCACTTGAAATCTGACTGATGACTGAAGTATACAGATTTCATTCAACATTTTACTTTGATATTGTGTTTAATTTCAATATAGACAACTTTTAGTTTAAAACGTTGGAAATGCTTATGCAATGAGCGATGGTCGCCCTGTAAGCGGTCAGTTGAAGAAGTTTGTGTTTCGCGGAAAGTCCACAACTAACGGTGACACTCGAGGTGAATATCTTGAGATTAAAATACCGGAGTTGCTTTCCGCTGGCTACTCGTTTTACACGTGGCCTTCTGCACCACTTCTAGCTTGGTACTTGTGGACGCAGCGACGACATTTGCGCGGTCTCCGAGTACTAGAGCTCGGTTGCGGCACTGGTTTACCAGGAATATTGGCGGCAAAGTGCGGTGCTCGCGTCACTTTAACTGACAGCGTTGCATTACCACGATCACTGCGACACTTGTCTGCATGCTGTGAGGCAAACAATCTCGTTCCTGGCCACGATATACAAATCTTAGGACTCGCCTGGGGTTTATTTCTTACTGATGTCCATTCCTTACGTCCTGTAGATCTGGTTTTAGCTTCTGATTGTTTTTACGACCCGTCGCAGTTTGAGGAGGTTATATCAACTGTTGGTTACTTACTAGACGGGACTGACACTCGATTTTTATGTGCTTATCAGGAACGCAGTGCCGACTGGTCGATTGAAGCTCTACTGAAGAAGTGGGGACTGAAAGGAGCTCTCATTGACTTGGATTCTCTGAGCGAGAGCTCAGGGGTTGATTATAGAGCCTTAATAGGCGAACGATCGTTGCACTTGTTGGAGATAGTGTGTGCGTAGGGTATGGCCAGCACAGCTAGAGCAGCACGCTTGTATGTGGGCAATTTGCCTTGGACCGTTGGACATCGCCAACTGAGAGAGTACTTTGCTCAGTTTGGTGCTGTTCAGAGCTCTAGAGTAGTATTTGACCGTTCTACTGGACTCAGCAAAGGATATGGTTTCATAGAGTTTGCCAGCCCCTCGGCTGCAGCTGATGCAATCAATAAGCAGGTTCATACTTTAGAGGGCTTGAATTTAACAGTGCAAACCCAGAACAATTAGGCACAGTATCTTACCGATTAACAATTTAGCATGGCAGCGGCACAACCAGAATACCCAGATTCAGACTTCTCTGATGAGGATCAGTCACCATTAGATGTATCTTTTAACCAAGCGGCTGGCCATGTAAGGAAGCTCACCAGCAAACTGGACAACAATCAACTTTTAGAGCTCTATGGACTGTATAAACAAGGTACAGAAGGTAAATGTAACACACCTAAACCTGGTTGGTTGGATGGCAGGGGTCGTAGAAAGTGGGAGGCTTGGAAATCACTTGGTGATATGCCCATTGTAGAAGCCAAGGAAAAGTATATAATATTAGTTCAGAAGTTTGATCCGGAATGGTCAGATGAGCGTGCAACAGGTTTAAAAGAACAGTGGGTGGCTGTCTCATCACTGAGACGATCTTCTGAATCAGAACTTGATGAAGATGAGTTATCACTATTAGATGCAGCTAGAGAGGATCGAGAGGACCGTGTAGCGGAGTTATTGAGGAAAAACCCTGAGTTGAGACATGAGAAGGATGACGATGGTCTCACTGCTTTACACTGGGCTGCTGACAGGAATGCCACTAAAGCCTTGACTGCTGCTATTGAAGGTGGATGCGTAATAGATGCAGTAGATGAGTACGGACAGACTGCCCTTCACTATGCGTCTTCCTGCGGTCACATCCATTCCACAAAAATACTGTTGAACGCTGGTGCCTCATTGTTAAAAGACGTTGATGACTGTACACCTTTAGATTTAGCCACAGATGATGAAATTAAGAAACTTTTGGAAGGTGCTAAAATGTAGATGTAAAATGTAAAAGCCAGATCTTGTGGCAATTTTAGTTAGAATTATTTTTTGTTGTAATGTAGTACCTATATCAATAAATTTTTAATACGCTATAACTCTCTCTTATTGTAACCTGTATATTTTATAATTTGTATTGAACAGTAACAGTGAACTGTGGTAAATGGTAATATTGAGAATATTATAGTATAATACCTACTACTTCCTTACTGAAGTAACATATACTTACATATTTATTCTTATTTTTACAATTAATAATACTAATAACAAACAATGAAATATTTTTTTCTAGATTTTGTTTACAATGAATAAAAACAAAAAATACTTGACCTACTTCTGTAGGAAGAAAATTCCAGAATTTCATATATAATTTACGATTTGGAGTAATATTACTATCATCCATTCATAGAATTTTGTTAAACTGTAGTTATCTAAATATGGGTATGGTACAAAACAAAGTCACTGTCGCTGTCTGTCCGTTCCTATGTATGCCTTAATCTTTAAAACTACGCTACGGATTTTGAAGCGGTTTTTTTTAATAGATTGATTCAAGAGGAAGGTTTATATATATAATACATGTACATCCGTGCGAAGCCAGGTCGAGTAGCTAGTAAATAAATACAAAAGAGTATAAATTAAGATGTTTATTAGTAAAAATAGACAAACACATACAATAATTGCAGTGTTTAAGTTCATCAGTGGTCTTGGATTTTTTTCTGTTTACAAAATCCAATATTACTAAACAAAATTTAATTGATATTATTGATAATAAAAAACGTTTAAGTAAAAGTCCTTTACGGCATACAAAGCGTTAGTCGATCCGGTATACAAAATTGAAAGCCAGGTAGAAAATAAATAAATAGTGAAAATCTTAAAAAAATAGTGCAGATTGTGTGAATGTTTTAAGAAGTATTTTCATATTACCTGTGCCCGAGGTTTCAATCGCGTTAAATTCCAATATAAATATAACCTGTGTTATTCTGATGCATAAGCTATATTACTGTAAAGTTTCATCAAAATCCGTTCAGTAGTTTTTGTGTGAAAGATTAACAAACATCTATACTTACAAACTTTCGCGTTTATACTATTATTTTTAAATATAAGATTAAATGGTACAGTTTCGCTAGTATTACACCTGGCTTTCGCTTTGCTATATCCTTTACAACTAACCCTGTATATCTGCGCCAAAATTACACCGATTTTGATGATTTTTTTGCAATGTACTCTGGTCATAGTCCCATATAAATCATCACAATTTACATCATCTTTTCTATAACAAAACATTGAATTATTCTTAATCTAAAAGTTTTTAATGTACATTACTGCAGGCGAGAACAGGTTGCTTTAAAAATATATATACAAAACATACCTTCAAGTCTGTTATTCGAGATGGGATAGTCAGAAGCTTGTCAATTGAGGTCGTAGTGACGAACTCAACACTTGACATGCCCATATTTCGATATATAACTGGATTTTTGATTTCATACAAAATTGTTCCATTCATAGAACTTCATTTTGGTTCCGTCATTGATAATAATAATCTCAGGACAATTCCTACAGCGGCATCTAGTACCAAGTTAAGTTAGCTAAAGCTGCTATAGGTACTTGATAACTGATACAAATATATAGTTTTTTTTTCGTATATACATACTTAATGAAAACAAATGTTTATACAGTGCGAGGAATCGAACCTACGACCATCGGAAGTCAGGCGGTGTGCTAAACCGCTAGATCACCGAGGCCGAACATTGAATTATATGTTAACATATACAAACATGTAAATATATACAACATTACAGTATAATGGGAACTTAATCTCTAGCAAAATTGGAGAAATATAATTTAAAATTACGAATAAGGTTGTTGATATACAGTCGGCTACTGTCAGCAAACCCGTCAATCGGAATCCATAGGAACGTTATTCCCATTAGGAACATTACAGAGAACTTAATCTCTTTTGCAAAATTGGCGAAATATAATTTAAAAATACGAATAAGGCTGTTGATATACAGCCGGCAACTGTCAACAAACCCGTTAATCGGAATCCGTAGTAACGTTATTCGCATTTCGCTTACCTCATAACTGATCGACTGTATATCAGCAGTCTTATTGATATTTTTGAGTTACAACTGCAATCATCACATGTAAACTGACGAGAAACGGGTAAAATACAGTCATATTTAGAGATTACAATAACCTCGGGTAGGCGATCCTTTATGCATCAACGTGCCATTTGTTCCAAAAAATTTTTAATGGAGTCATTGACTTGCCATCAAATAATATTGACTTTCTGATATTTTGGAAAATAATAATATCAAAACTCTATATGAAATAAAGTAAACAAAAGAGGTACATTTTGGATTGTTTTCATTACACGCATAAATTAAATTACTGTAAAATTAGTGTGACTTCTGTTGCTGCAGGTTAGATGACAAATAATTTATGTCAGGCTTGTACGATGTTACTTTTAGCAAAATGCATGCTGAACTGCATTCATCTGTCAAACGGTTTCTAACCGAGTTTTTAATGTTATTCATCTCTGAAAATAATGACTCGCAGGCATAGGTAGGTGAAAATATTGTTAAAATAGCATGAGCCAGCTTCTTCAAACAGTTTTATGATCGATGACGTGCCCAAAATATTGTGTGGCGTTCCGTCAATGGCACGCGTGCCATTGGTTCGCCTACCCTGACCTAGGACAATTGACACAACATCATCTAGTCCTAAGCTGAGCAGAGCTTGTGTTATGAGTACTAGACAACTGATGGATATCATTGGATACATTTTTTTTAAATAATACACATAATATACACAGAAAAGATTCAGACCATACTCAGGAATACAAATGTTTGTACCGTGCGGGGAATCGAATCTAGACCTTGTGTTATGGATACTAGATAACTAAAGGATATCATCGGATACATTTTTTTAACATTATACATAATATATACAGAAAACACAGACTGATACAAACAATCATACTCAGGAATACAAATGTTTATACCGTGCGGGGAATCGAATCTATGAACATCGAGGTTAGGCGGTGTGCTATACAGCTAGACAATCCAGGCTGTCGATAATATACAATTGAGACATATGTTTGTACGTTGCTTATGTACACATCAGAAATTAAAAAGTTATTAATTATATTCGAGGTTACAAAAATACATATAATTTTATAGTATTGTTATAATCCACTAGTGTCCCGCCAGCATATACCGTTAGCGCAGACGGGTGCACCTTAACATTAGTTAAAAAATAACTTACTATATAACTATATACAAATTAATTACACCAATAATTATTCACGCCAGCGTTAACACAAATCCATTTAAAACATGGATTTCGTATAATAAAAAGGCGTAGATAAGGCTGTATATATATTAGGCTACTTAGGTATATATCTGTCTGTAATAAACAGTGATCGGAGTAGGTAGAGCTATTTTATGTATTAGCCATATTAACTAGCTGTACACGCGATTTCGTCCGCGTGGAATTTAACTTTATTTTTCTAAAATAAAATAAACTTTATTTTTCTAAAATAAAGTTAGTCTACGTTACTCCTTATTACATCAGCTACCTGCCAATAAAAGTCCCGTCAAAATCGGTCCAGCCATTTCAGAGATTACCCGCAACAAACGGACAGACAGACAAAATTTGTAAAAAATGTTATTTTGGTGTATGTTCCGTGTTTATATTCATATGCATGTTCAAAAAACGGTTATTGGAATATCACAAACAGACACTCCAATTTTATTTATATGTATAGATAATATGTTGGTTAGGATGTACAGAAATGGGCCGTTCAAGTATTACGTAAGCAGATTTATTACAATTATTTACCCCCCCCCCCCCATCCCCCTTGTCAGCAAAGTAAGCAAAGCTCTTACCCCCTCCCCCATGCTTACGTAATCATTTTTCAATTAATGTATTGTTTTCTTGAGCAAAGACAATGTGAGGGTTGCCATTAGTGTAAAAAAGTTAATAATTACCGATGACGTTAATTGAACGGGAAAAACCGAACCAAAAAAAAAGTAAAGATTCCCCCGCCCCCATAGTACTTCCATAATACTTGAACGGCACCAAAGAATACTGGGACTGAATGATGTATCTCCTGACATATCATTTCATATCCAATTGCATAAAACAAGAAGACTCAGCAACTACAGTTTTTTTTTTAATCCCAGAGACAAATTTGACATTACCTATATTGCCAGTTCTTAGCAATTTTTGAATACTGTTGTGGAAGTATCGGAAATTAATATAAATTACCCATTTTTATACATATTGGTTACTCAGACATAATTTTGTGGGTGTTTATTTAAAACTCATTAACAAAGAAATTATAAAGTATAGGTATTATTAAATATAGTCAGTATAGCAGGTACAGCGCTACTCCGCTATAGGTGGTAACATTATTTTAACATTTGATATTTACAGCAATCAATCTAGTCTCCAAGATAAAAAAATTTTTGCAAGTTAGGTCAAGTTGTTCTTAATGTTTTACTCGCCCTAAGAGGCTTCATTCCAGTCACCCGGAGATTGTTGTCCTCAGAGTCTAGGGGCCCCGAGGTCCCAACCTTCCTAGGGGGGTGGGGATGACCAGTCAGTCAGACTCTAAGTATAGTTGCTGACTCTTCTTTTTTACGCATTTGGAATGGCAAATAAGGCGACATTTTTCAATTACTATGAAGTGAGATAATATTTTTTTCGGACTACTCTAGTGCTGTTGGCCGCAGCTGGCCTTTACAACTTCACTGGACGATAGGAGGCGAGTGCAGATGGCACTCCAAACCTTTTCTTATGCTATAATCTGATGATACCACTAATATGTTGCCATTCAAGAGCAACAATGTTATTCTTATCCTGTAATATCACTGCCTAATCTACACCCTACAACCGAAACAGCTTACATAGCAAGCTGCTTGGCTGATATAGGTGAGACTGAGGTACTATAAATTTTACAGTCTACCACACATTATTCATGTACCACTAACAGCTCAGGCCGTTGAAATCACACCGAATACGGTTTAGGAATCTTCAGTTCTCCTTAACATCCTTGTGAGCCATTCCATCTCCGGAGTCGAGCTGTTTGAGCAGCCTGAACAGAGCGGCAGCTTCTCTGATGCGACTAAACTCGATGCAGAACGCCTCCACTTCAATGAACAGCTCCTGGAAGATAATGAGTAGTATCACGTTCAAACGTAAATTTCGGGAATATTATTTAGACTTGTAACTTCTCTTTTACTTTTCGTCTCCTTCTTTTACATTTTTCTATAATTTCCCTATACTTCTCTCTGACTAACTTTATTTTTTTTACATTCAATATGAGGCTGTACTTAGAATTTAATTATCAGATCATTAAGTATTTATTTGTTTATTTACATGTACATTATTTTTTACAGAAATTATATATATTTAGCCTTATATATTTAGAAATAAAGTGTTCTGGCCCTATCACTGAAGAGGAAACGCTACTATACATCCTACATGGTTGTAGGCCACCCATGCATAAACAAAATATCTCTTTTGGAAAGTATACACTATATCCTGAGGACATAAAAACGATCACTTATAACAAATACTTAGTTGTTATACTGGCTAATAAGAAACGTGTTTTATATCTAAATTTGTATTTAAAATTTATAGTTTCATTTGTAGATTCTTGTTTGTTACTTTCATTCTATTTCTGTTATATGTCAGTAGTCTACCCTAATATAAAATTTTCTCCGTATACCAAATCCTTTTCTTTTTCTTACGTGTACAAATATAATAAAATACAACAGTATTTGAAGGGCATTCCTCCTTCTTGTCCCTGATATGTAGGTAATTTAAAACAAGGCCGGTAGGGAATTCAAAAAGAAATTGGCCCTTGCAACAAACGGGCAAAATCATTAAGGCCCAGATTTCAAAGTTTTGTAGACCCCTGATCTATATAACCATACATCGTCAAATGATATTTATCAAAATTTGAAGATAGAATTGCCTCCTTTTATATAAGTCAATTAAATTAACCACGCCGTCTTAATCATTATCTAAATACTTTTAAAATGATTTATAATACTTCTGTGTAAATTTAAAACTTTAAAGGAAAAAAATAATTTAAATAAATATAAAAGGCTTGTCTTGCAAAAAAAAATGTACATTTTGAATACTGCCATTTTTATTTTTACCCGACGATATGTAGAAATTCATGTAAAGTGTACATTTGTTTCAAATATATATAATATAGTACGCACCTTGACGTTAATGATCTTATTTCTAATGAGCGACTGCAGGAACACGCATACTAGTCTCACGAGCCGGTTCTGCATATATCTGTCCCGGATGGTCTCGCACGTTGAGATGCAGTTGCTTATGTATAGATGCACGAAGTCTACAGGCAGATCCACAGTCGTCGTTAGCCTGGTAACAAAGATTTTTGTATGAGCTGAGTGTTGGAAACTATTTTATATACCTTTTTTATTGTCTATATTTTTATAATATTATATTGTTTTTATATGACATACGTCAATTTATTACACAATTATTCTACAAATAAAAAAAAAATAGAAATAGAAATAATCTTTATTCAAATAAACTCATTACAAGCACTTTTGAATAGTCAATAATAATTGTAATAAATCTGCTTACGTAATACTTGAACGGCCTATTTCTGCACATCCATATTATCTATACATATAAATAAAATTGGAGTGTCTGTTTGTAATATTCCAATAACCGATTTTTACTACATGCATTAGAATATAAATATATATGTACCGTACATACACCAAAATAACATTTTTACAATTTTTGTCTGCTTACTTTTTAAGCTTTGCTTACTTTTGCTGACAAGGGGATGGGGGGAGGGGGGGTAAATAATTGTAATAAATCTGCTTATGTAATACTTGAACGGCCCCATACACATACTTGAGAATAATTTACTTAGTAGATATTTATATTGTAACATATCAGCTTGTTAGTGCTTTTTATTTCAGTACTGGTCTGCTCAAATTTCAATTTTGTTGTATCACATCTAAATATTCAAATTAGAAATTTAAATAATTTATTCGTGTAGGACATTCAACGTATCTTTTTTTTATATTATAATGTTTAGTATATATATCCAATTCAGAAGAACTAGCAAGAAACTCAATTGAATTTTTATCTATAACTTTATGCTGAGTTGGTTGTCTCTTCATCTCTGGGATACATAAAGTCAGCTCCATTTTTTTATTTGTACAATTTAAATATTTGTATCTTATGTATGATATATAATAATAATAATAATATTTCAGGACAATTGACACAGCGCCATCTAGTCCCAAGCTAAGCAGAGCTTGTGTTATGGGTACTAGACAACTGATATAAATACATGGATACATTTTTTTGTAAATAAATACATATTATACATAGAAAACACCCAGACCGATACAAACAATCATACTCATGAATACAAATGTTTGTACCGTGCGAGGAATCGAACCCACGACCATCGGATAGTAAAGCGGTGTGCTAAACCACTAAACCACCGAGGCTGTCATAATTGTCATATGAACAGAATTTATGTGTATTATTTGTATTATTTTTTTAATTATAATTCTATTAGCCGCATCAAGTATATCTGCACATCCCAAAGGTTGATTGGAAGAGAATGCTATACCATTAACTCCACCTTTTGTACCAATTATAGTGGTCAATAAAGCAAATTTTTATTTTTTGGTAGTTAGGTATCTGCAATCAGTACTGGTACTATAAGCAGGTGAGTTGTTGGTAGTACAATAAAGCAAATAAATAAATAAAATAAATGAATAAAGCATTTATTAATACAGCTATCCGACCTGTTGACCACCTCCATGGAGTGTAGAGACATCTCCATGTTGACGAGGACGCTGAAGTACTCGGTGATGTGCTGCGAGTGGATCAGCTTCAGCAGCACAGAGATCGCCACCATCGGATTGTTCTCCACCAACTCTGGCAACTGCAATTGTTATTTAAAGGAATTATTAATTGGAGATTACTCCTTAAGGTCTCATTTCACCAAGGAAATTAATCGCGTTTAGTTCCAATAAACAGGTTAAAACGTTTAAATGAGTTCAAAGCTTCATTTTGCATTTCACCACTACAATCTGAACTAGTTTTCGCTAAATTCGTTTAAATTCTGAACGCCCGATTTTATACTTCTTAAAATTATTTTAGTTAAATTATCCATTGCGTCAAATATTATTTTATGAGCGTGTAACACTGCGAACGAATGAAAATCTAAACTTCATTTTGGTAAACGCGATTAAGATAATGCTGGTGAATTTAATTTAAAGTAAAACGAGATCAACGTCGTATTTATTTTCGAGTTTACGCTTAACTCCAATTTCCTTGAACTTGTTTATATTGCGATTGGTGATATCCAGACTTGGCATAAATATCTTTTTAATATTTTTCTACTTAAAAAACAAGTCGTGTGATTCGGGGTATATCCATATTATTCTATCACATTCAAATTCAAAATAATTTATTCATGTAGCACCCTTTAGCCGCTTATGAACGTCAAATTTTTTATATTATAATTTTTTTCCTACCGTCCAGTTCAGTATATAGGTTGAGAAGAACTGGCAAGAAATACAATTTTTTTTAAAGCTAGTTTATTTATATAGGTGTCTATGTCTAACATTAAATGAAAATCCCGTGCATGAACAACTATTGCCACGCACTCTCGTCATTCAAGTAATCGTTTAGTGAGTAAGGCTTTGCTCAATAAATATGATAATAACAATAATCTCAGTACAATTCACACAGCGCCATCTAGACCCAAGTTAAGCTAGCTAAAGCTTGTGTTATGGGTTCTAAGCAACTGATACAAATACATAGGTATATCATTTTTTTCGTAAATACATACATATTATACATAGAAAACATCCAGACCGATACAAACAAACATACTCATGAATATAAATGTGAGTGCGAAGAATGTGCTAAACCGCTGGACACAGTCGTCGATGATTTAACAGATGTTTTGAATTATCATATGGCAAGTACGTAAATTAGGAAGGCATTGGATGCGAGCAGCGCAGGACCGATCGTCGAGATCTTTGGAAGAGGGCTATGTCCAGCAGTGGACGTCTTCCGGGCTGCGATGATGAAATAGCATAAAATAGCTGTACCTACTCCGATTACTGGTAATTATATAAAATACTAGCCGTACCCGCGACTTCGTCCGCGTGGAAAGTAACTTTATTTTTCTAAAATAAAAGTAGCCTAAGTTACTCCTTATTACATCAGCTATCTGCCAAAAAAGTCCTGTCAAAATAGGTCTAGCCATTTCGTCGATTAGCCGGAACAAACACACAGACAAAAATTGTAAAAAATGTTATTTTGGTGTATGTGCCGTATTTATATTCATATGCATGTAGTAAAAAACGGTTATTTCAATATTACAGACACTCCAGTTTTATTTATATGTATAGATAATAAGTAAATTACCTGAGCGGGAGTAACTCCAATATCATAAACAACTTTAGGGTCCTGATCCAGTAACGCTAACAGTTTCTGCTGTTGCGGTACACTGAGCGGGTTCTTTAACGCCAACTGCGTTAGTTCCTTTGCCTCATTCGTAATGTTAACTGGCTCCTTCTCTTCTGGTTTCTTCTCTTCTTGTTTCTCTTTCTTCTCCTCTTGCTAGCAAAAATAAACTATATTAATGAACATACACTTTTTGCAACCACATTGTGGCATAACCTTCCAGTAATGTTATTTCCGAACCGAAACGATATTGAAACCTTCAAGAACAGAGCTTATTTCGCCTTCCTATAGAAGGCCAGCAAAGTACTTGCAATTCCCTTGGTGTAGCGGGTGCTCATCCCGATAAATTCCTAGTGAATTTTTCACAACTTGAAATATGAAATGTACTGTAACTGAACTGTACCACATGGTATTCCTGGAAAGCATCAGGGTAAATTTCTGGTCAATTTGTCACGATGGGCTAACTAACCTGACCTCATGTACATCTTATCATCCTCCACTGGTGCCCCGCCAGCGTAAACCGTTAGCGCAGACGAGTGCACCATTCTATTGTTATCTATTAAAAATATGTGTCCTTTTATACAAAAACTATCGTACAATAAATTATTATAAACAAACAATCTCAAGTTATTGACCTTACCGCGCGCCCAGGCGCTCCACACCGGTGGCCCCGGTCGCCTCTCCGATCGATCCCCCGTCCAATTCAAACGAAGATCAAATTTATGACGACCTGACCTAAGGTTCGAACCCCAAGCGGTGCCCTCAGACTAAAGTCGTATTCGTCAGAAGGGAGTTGGCCTTCAGCCGCTCCATAAGTCCGCGAGTTTAGAGTTCCATCTGCACTCACCCCCTATCGTCCGGTAAAGCTGTAAAGGCCAGCTGCGGCCAACAGCATTAAAGTAGTCCAAAAAAAAAATACTGACCTTATTCTTGTGTTGGGGTTGTGCTTGAGTCCGTTTTTCTGCTCGCTCTACCTTCACTCCCAGGAGTCCCTCGCAGTCTGTATCGTACATGGGTATGTATGTGCCTCGATTCACTAAGTTCTTCCATACTGCCTAATAATAATAATATATATTTTTATTTCATATTATTGTATATTGCATTTGCTAATCAGAAAAGTTTCAACCCCTTACCGTTGGTAAGGGGTTGAAATACTTATTTATTTCATATTATTGTATATTGTACTGGCCAATCAGAAAAGTTTCAACCCCTAAGGGGTTGAAAGTTTTTTTCGCATTAAGAAGTAACCTATGTCCTTTTTTAGGGTCTGGACTATTTTATAAATATTATATAAATCGGTTGAGTAGTTTTGGAGTGAAAGCGAGACAGACAGTTACTTTCGCATTTATAATATTAGTAAGGAAAGAAGGATAAAAGAAGGTTCACATACATACTAGCTTTAAATTTGAATTCATACCTCATCAGCGAAGGGTATATCGTTGGTGTCGAGAAGGAAGACTGGCGGCGGGATGGGTCCTGCCGCCTTCAGGGTGCGGTGCAGCGGAGTGTACTCGTTGGACATCAGCGCTTCCAGAAGCTCCTTCATTGCCATGCGGTTAGGTAAAGTCCTAATAATAACAATACAGGAAGTATATTTATTATGAAATTATTAAAGATATTCTGAATGAAGATACTTGGTCAGTATGCCTCGTATCATCAGGGGGGTTACGAGTTACGGTATACGAGTTCTCCTCTCCTCTTCTTCCCCTCGGAGACGAGTATCGGTACAACTATTAATAACCATTTAGTGGTCGCACTTGCAAGTATCTATGCACCGATTGTAATTGGACCATACGATGTGACGCATTCATTGCCTCAACGATACGATTTATTTTATTTTTAAGTATACCCTACATTTGTCTTATTTTTTCGTTCACCTCTAAAGAATCGTATAGCATGTTATCTTTAGGTGGGCAATGGTGTCTGAGATACAGGCTAGGCCTAGTTTAGACACTACTGCACTGGACTTGATATTAAATAGTTAAGAACTATTGTATATATATGAATTAATATAGATATATAACCTTAGTTAAGTCCCTTTTGTATTTGTTTTTTTGCACAATAAAGTTGTTATTGTTATTCTTTATTTTTTCTCAGCTATTGCTGGTTTTCTCCACACTTACGGGCCGAAACCAAGTAAGTGCAGAGTGTGTGTATGTGTGTGTGCGCGTTATTATTATTATTATTATTAATAACCGACTGATAAGGGTTGAAGGGGCACGGGGGTTTTTATAGGGGTACAGGGTAGCGCAACTCGCAGGTAGCGTAGTGAGTAATTTGTCCCATATTCCCTAATTGCGCAAACGAACATGTAGGTACTTATTTTATAGAATGGTGTTAATGTTTTTTTTTAAAGTAAAGTTTCAATCTTTCTAATGGCATATCATTTTTATTAAAATGTTGAATACTTTCACTAAAAACAATGTTTGAATGCAGAGGTAGCGCTTGAGTCGATTTGGTTGCTCGCGAGTGTAGTTAACATACCCATCACTGAGAGGTATGAGGGCGGGTGCAGTTGCTCGCGCCATCGAGCTCATCTCAGTGGCCCGTTCAGCCACCAACGCTTGCAGCGGTGAGTAATCGAAGTCCAGCTCTTTAGCTATAACTTCTGTTAGCATCACTTGTTTTGCTGATTTCTTCATCACCTGCAATATATAACCGTAGGGATGATGAGAAATATAAAGAATGTTGAGTGAAATCAGTGTGAAATAGTTCTTTAGGGAATTGTCTATACATATAAATAAAATTGTAGTGTCTGTTTGTAATATTGAAATAATCGTTTTTTACTACATGCGTATGAATATATATACGGTACATATACCAAACTAAAATTTTTTATATTTTTTGTCTGTCTGTCTGTTTGTTCCAGCTAATCTAAAATAATCAGCTGAAATGACTAGACCGATTTTGACGCGACTTTATTTGGTAGGTAGCTGATCTAATGAAGTGTAACTTAGGCTATTTTCACTTAAGAGTATAAAAATAAAGTCCACGCGGACAACGTCACGGGAACAGCTAGTTATTAATAATAATAAAGCCTTTTTTCAGTTTTTCTTTTTATTCTTTTATTGTACTTTCCTTCTGCAGTTAAGAATTTAAAATGCCTACAACACACTTGCAATAATCTCTTCTTGAAGATTGCAGTATTGCATTAAGTTCAGAAATGTTATACCATTTCTGAACGGTGATTCCTCAATGTGGTTGTGCGTAGCATGAAGTTTCTGGAAAAACGTACGTTGGAGGACCATCATTTATCCAGATAAACTATTAAAATACTTACATCCTTAATATTGACCGGTATAAATCCAAGAACTTGACCGATGAACAGTCTCTCCTGTGGTGCCAGTGATTGTAAACCTGACTTCCCTTCCAATAAGTGCAGGAACAAAACGCTGAATGGGTTGTCCACCTTATATATGTCATATAAGAGTGCTAGGGCGACCACACGTTGCCCAGGAAGGGAGAGGTCTCCACCAGTTATAAGCGATGACATTATCAGGCATACTGGAAATAAAACAAATTAATAGTCCTTAATGTGTTTTTTTAATTCTTTTTTTTAGTTGGTGGTGCATTTAAATAAATAACATTTTATTTTTTCTGTTCCTTGTATATCCGCAATCAGTAAGTGCACTAGAATCGGATTGGTTGGTAAATTACTATGCAAGCCTACAGTCCAGTGACTGCACAACTTTTTATTTAAGAGAAGCCTCCGGCGCTTTGATTAGATTTCAAGACCCGGAGTACACTTTATCCAACTCCAGTGTATGTGTCCTTTTCATCTCAATTTATAGTTGCAATATTATTTTACTCAGAACCTTAGCCACAACAATGTGTGGCCGGGTCTGGTAGTAATATATAAAAGATGCATATATTCATATACAGATACATAACTATATACAACATTCTAATGTTTGGTCATGTAATGCATAGGAATGAAAATAATATTTTAAAAAAGTTTTATAAAAATTTATAGAAATATTGCATGCAAAATATATATATGTTGACAACCATTGTTGTCAAATATATAAAAATCATAGACAATTCAGACTATATACAGATATGTATATAAAAGAAGTGTTCTGTATCAACTGTAGTTAATTGATCTATATCAATAATAAATCTCTATAGATAAATGGAACTCTCATATTATTAAAAAACTTAACATTTCAGTTACTTGACCTGATTATACACAATCTTATTAATGAATTTGTGTCATAATTATTCTATAGCTTGTCATTCCTGCTTCCTTCTAGGTAATACCTACTCTGCCAGGGGGAAGGGGATTGTTAGTAATGTGGATTCATGACTCACTAGCAATGTACCATGTCAGGTTGACCTCCACGCGGTTTCCCCTGGAAACCATCGTGATAAATTCCTGGTGAATTTGTCACTATGGGCTACCTGACCTGACCTCATGTTCAACTTATCCTCCACTGGTGCCCCGCCAGCGTAAACCGTTAGCGCAGGGGGATGCACCATTCCATTATCATCAATAAAAAAAAACCTACTCTGCCAGCCTAGTATATAGTAGAAGAATGTATATTATTCTTACTAGGTGGACTGTTTATTACTGTTTACCTATTATGAAATCTAAATAGAATAGAAAAAATAATCTTAAATGAAGCAATTTTTTAAAATCTAAATTTAAAATGACTTAATAGTACTTACGATTGAAATGCTCAGATTTTGGAAACCGTTTTTGTACTTGGACACATATAGAATCCAAGCTTTGTGAGTCGACAGTCTGTTCCGAAAATAAACTGGAAAGAAAAAGAAAACAAAGTTTCCAAACAATACCAATACTTGAGGTTAGAAAGTGTAATTGATATTTTACTCACTCCAATACATATTTACTATTCTCATTTATTAACTGCTGCGACATTTTACACTTATATGTGTAACTAAAGCTATAATTGTGGCAAAATTTATATTATTAAAAACAAAATTTAAAAGGGACAATTTTTATTTATTAATGCATAGAGTAATTTATTTCTTGAACTACAGATACACTGACAGTGACAGCAAGTGACATATCATGACAGTGGAAGTCTACTCTGTTACAAGACCAATTATGTTATGTCACGCGAAATAGCTAAGCTGTAAAGAATAGTCCACAAGAGTACAATTGGAATTTATAACAATATTGTTCTTTTAAGTTCGACATGAAAAAGTGTTTCATATCATGTTATTGGAATGTAAATAATCTAACTGCTCACTTCATAGCGAATAATACCTGTCGCTTATATAGGCATAGAACATAGCACATACAAACTTGTTATACCACTTATGACGCCCATGATATCACTCACGTGTTGCCATTCCAGGACTATAACAGCCTTTTATCATATCTTATTTCATTATTGAACTAAAACAGCTTACAAAGCAAACTGCTTGGCGGCTGAATTAGGTAGACAGAGATACCAAGCACAGACAACTTTTTAGAAATATTATTTTCAGTGGAAAGCTGAAACAAAAAATTATATTACTACTTACTTGAGTAATATATTCAATGAAATTTTAATCGTAATAAAATTAAAATATCAAAAACTAGGATAATATTTTTTTTTATTAAAATAATTCATGTTATTTTTCTTGTATAGTTTATCTTATTTTAAACCTTTCAATGTGAGACTCGCTCTTACTAGATAATATGGTAAGATAGTATATGGCGAGTTGGTATAATAGATGTGAAATAGAAATAGAAATAATCTTTATTCAAATAAACTTAATATAAGAACTTTTGTATAGTCAAGTTTTTGATTCTAGCGCTCATTTTGAATGCAGTCTCATCACAAGAAGAATGAGCAAGAAACTTGTGTGAAGGTAGATTATATATTTATTAACTCAACACCACATTCCAGATTACTTAGAATATAGTTTCTACTAATAATTAAATGATATATTTTGTCATGGCATAACCAACCTTTAGAAAATTATAACTATCGTATGCGTAGTGTGTATAGAAGAATCGAATCTGACTCACTACAGATAAAAATGTTCTGATTGCCAAAGTAATTAATAACCTTGCGTGTGTTTGTTTTACTTTCAATATTGATAACAGTAGGTACATATTGTTTGTTTGAAACACGTACGTATGTACATCTTGGTATATTGTTGTAAAACGCATTCTGAAAATTTCATCACTCGTATAGTGCTGAACAAAATTCGATGGAACTCGCTATTTCAATTCAATCTATATGATCTATAGGATATTTTAACATAAGTTTAAAAGAGTATTTAAACGAAAATGCGTGCTATTGGTATATATGGACATATGTAATATATTTATTGGAAAATTCTAAGAGAATGGAAAAATAATAAACCCTGGCCACAGTAAAACCTAAGTAAAATCTAAAAACAAGACATCTGTTAAGTAATTACTGTATTTAAAATGTATTGGGTTATATGTTATGACTTATCAATATTTTTATTTAAACTAAATAAGTAAATAAACATTAAAAATGTAGTTCAAAGTTCAAAGTACATATAAACACGAGAAGTGTTAAGATAAACGCCTGTTTAATTTAACTAGCAATTTTTGCGATGTTAAACTTAATAATTGAAATGGGAGCACAAGAACACAGTAGAGTTATGAGAAGACAATCCCTCGATCCTGAAAAGATCTTACATGCTGTAATGATCAAATAACGAAAACTTGGGTTGTGGAATAAGATTCTTGCCGAGGTTTCCACTAGCTGAAGAATAGCATAATAAGTACGTTACGATCACGTGATATCCTCATTGTTTTAAGCTTAAATGGATTTCTGAAAACATTTACCGTTATATTACATGTAAATTCACTAAGAATGCAAAATCGCAGCTTATCTCTAGCAATCAATTCAATAATAGCAATTTGAAACAACATATTACAAACACAGATAAGTATAATTTATATTTGTAAATGTTTGAGATTGTGAATACATATAATTTCATCAAGAAACTATCCATTAATCATATTTAAATATTTATCGTAGTGAAATACCTAATTAATTTAATTCAAAAATATTAAATTGGTTTTTATTTATTCCATGCAATCATATAAATAAAAAGAAAAATTAATGCATCATTACATTTAAATTTCATTACCAAGTCCTTATCACAGTTCTAGGTACAAAATGTATGTGAGATTCTACAAATAATAGATATTGCATGTCATATAAATTCTACATTGATAGTGATGCTAGTACAAGTGTCTGTTTGATGCATTTACCTCGCGCCAAGCCCGTTATCTCTCATTGTGTGAATTTCGGAAAGAAAAAAGTTTTATTGCTGTACACATAATGCGTATACCAGAAGCCACAAAGCTGTACATAAACCTACACTGCATGACACCGTTGAACCTAGTTATCATCAAAATGCTAATTGTAAACGCTCACTTTTTTTATCACGTCCATTCCTCCTCAGAGATAAGATTACGCCAGTCATATGGCACGAACGAACGCCTCTTTAGTAGCGCGTTATAACTCAATTTTTGTAAACATTTAATAATTGATATTGATGTGAACAGCCAATAGTCAAGTGATTGAGTGATGGTGCAGTGTTATAGTGTAATAAGATATGAGAGATCCCCGTACGATAGCAGTCATGCATAACGTCAGGTCTCTACATATGGTTTCGGAATCAGGTGGCGCACACCGAAACCGTTCTATGTCATTGTCTACTCGCCATTACAACGGAGCTCCAAGACCGGAACCTAGATATTCTTTACAACTTCAGGTAACAATATTATAAACATATTAACAATTAAATACATCCGAATGGAGTAAACACTTCATATATAAAATAACATATGAGGTTTGTCTACAGAAAGGTTTTTATCAAATAGATAATGTCTAAATAAAACGAATTTAAAGTAATATAGAACTGAGATGAGAAATTATTAAAATATAAAGGACTGGACAAATAAACACAAGGAAAAAGAAATACATCAAATGTTGTGATTTGAGCTCTAAATATTCAGATAGCGATATTAACAGTCATTTAACACACATTGAACATAATTGATATGAAATTTTAAGTACCTAAACCTTATACGAAGTGAAAATCAGCTTGTCATTATTTATAAAGAATCAAAGAAAAAGGTAAAGCTAAATAAAAAGCAAAAACGGTAATTTTAGCCTTACAAATAAGCAAAGGTCTATGGAATTCTAGCAATAGTGTAGTGATTTATCTTTCAATAGGTTATACATGCGAATGGATGCTGCTTGAAGTGTTGCGTACAAGTTATGGATGCTGATTGATTATTTTTATAGGTACTGATTTGTTACGTAAATTCAATGTTATGGTAGCCTATGCTAATGTCAAAATGCACTTGAAAAGGGCCTGAGTAAAGTCCGTTGTCAGTTTCTGCCATTTCAAGTTACGTCTTGAACTGTCCATAGAAATAATTTATCACATATATCTTTAATAGACTAAATGAATAAAGAATAATTTTCAATTTGAAAATATATTTTTAAAGTGATGATAGGTTAGTTACTGGACATAATTCTGTGGATATTTAATTTCAATACTGTAATGCAAATGGTGTAAGATTCAATTCAAGTCACGCTCAAGAAATAAGAATCTAAAAAAAAAATAGCCCTTATAATAGAATTGCATATATATTTCGTCATTGTGAAAAGACCGATAGAGAGTTATAGTCAAATCATAATATTTCTTCACGACTTACAAAAACAATTTTGTAACTTCACACAGTGTGTCTATTGCCTTAAACAGATGTCGGTTCACTTCTCGTTACTATATTATAGGAACTTAACTTATTATTAATTTATTATACAAACGATGCATATTCGAATTTTAAATAAGTAATCATTTATTAATATAGGCCATTTCTGCCTGTGTAATTTTTATCTACATTCCATTTCTAATCCTTTAGAACTCGTAAAAAAGTCACCTCATATTAATTTATCTAATAAATAACTGAGTAGTTATGGTATTATGTACCTATCTAAGTAATATATATTATTTATTTTATTAAATTATGAACTTGAACTTTCAATTGAAATGAATGAGATAAAACGATTTATGGTTGAGTATAAAAATTTTATCTTTTTATAAATAAAACGCTGTGAGTGTGCCTATTTAACAGATTTAGAATCTTCGATAAGTATATTATCATTTCGGAATCATATAATCAAGCTATAACAATTGCATTAACCGCAGTTCACCACGAAAATGATAATGACAGCTTGTTTGACATACATGGCGACGACTGACGTTATGACGGGCGATCGGCTGTCAATCGACTGTCATAGTCGATAATCCATCTTAATATTTAGATTTTTTATTTGTATTTCAATTATTCTTGTAGGAAAAATAATAATTTTGCTGTTTAGATTTTATATTAGGACATTGCAATAAACATTTCTAATGTCAATAAAGTGTGGGACGTGTTCCGTGAGACCTCTGTACAAAATCGCCTGAGAACGTGTCACAGATTTTTTGCTAAACGTTGTTCATTAAGATATTTGTAAAGGAATGTGAATTGTTCCCTGTTGTATTCGTAAATAAGTGAATTTTACACATGGGTGATGGCTTGGCAGTCGGACACACGTGTAAGTACGACAAATGAACGGACCACTATGCTGATTCATGTTTAGGAAAACACTTAAATGAAACAACATGTTAAACGTGTTCTTGTCACCGAATGTCAATTAAATATGTTTTGAAAAACGTCTAATTTAAATGTTTATTGTTGTACAAAGTTTGTCCAAAGTGATGTTAAGTATAGTGTGTTTAAATGAATGAAGTAGGTACTAGTAAGTAGTGAGTTCACATGCAACAAGCTTTGTAATATTACTAATTTAATAATATAGGTTTAAATTTGTGTAATGGTATATTGTTAGGTATAATATAATTACAGGAATGATATAAGAGTGTTATTCATTCACATAAAAACATCTACATGACCACAATTCTTGTAAATAATGAAACAATACCATTACTACATAGAATCTTTCTTAGATTCATTTTGTGGCCTTGGTAATGTTTTCTATAGAGTCAAATAGAAATAATGTTTATTCAAATAACCTAAGTTTAGTTTGAGAAGAACTGACATAAAGTACTTTAAATGACTGCAGAATTTGCTATTTCTGCAATATGGCCTTAATGATCCTCTGTGGGATAGTAGTTTAGTACACTGCTTTAGTTGTCATGGTCACAAGTTTGATTCCTTCCAGGGTATAAAATAAACACTCATGATTATGATTGGTCTGGGTGATTTCTATGTACATTATGTATGCATTTGCAAAAAAAATGTATTTAAGTATATACATCAGTTGTCTAGTACCCATAACACAAGATCTTAACTTGGGACTAGATGGCATTGTGTAAGTTTTCCTTGTTTATTATTATTATAAAAAAAATGGGTTGTTTATTATTATTATATAAAAAAATGTGTTTCTAACAAACATATAGTTAATAATGTAGGCTTTCTGTTGTGTTTATACATTATTTTATCAAATGTTACAGTTTCACTTGACTAGTTTCTAATAGAGTTTTTATTACATTTTACAATAAAAGTATAAATTTTGCAGAATTAAAAAAAAAAACTGGTTTTAGAATGTACCAAACAACCTTTAATAATAATAATAAAATTTATTTATTCCATTCCATTATAAGTATTCCTAAAATTGTTTTAACAATGAACATCTTGTAAATATAACAATATAAGAGAATGGAACGGAATCTGTGCTAGGAAAACCTGTTTTATAGAATTCCGCCCCTTTTTAGCACTACATTTAAATTTTTAGCATCTATTTCTATAGATTAGTTGCTAGGAAGTAATCCTACCTATTGTAGTCTTTAATTATTCTTTCTCGTTAACATTATGAGGAAATATTTGTATTTACTTATGAAATGTTAAGCAATTTAAATAAAATCTTTTATAAATAAAAATAGAAATTGTCTTTATTCAAATAAACTTAATATAAGCACTTTTGAATAGTTATATTTTTTTATTCTACCACTCATTCTGAATGCAGAGTCATCACAAGAAAAATAGGAAACAACTTGAATGTTGTCTTTTTAAATAAATGTTGTTTTAAATAAATCCACATTGATAAAGTTAAAAGTTATTTATATGTTTTTATTCTACCAATAATACAGAATGCAGAGTCATCACAAGAAAAAGAGAAAACTTTTGCGTGTCGCCCTTTTAAATAAATTCACATTAACAAAGTTAAAAGTTATTTATATGTTTTTATTCTACCAATAATGCAGAATGCAGAGTTATCACAAGAAGAAAGAGGAAGCAACTTGCATGTTGTCCTTTTAAATAAATGTTGTTTTAAAAAAATTCACATTAACAAGGTTAACACTTAGAATGGCACCTACATTGAATATGTTTATTTTATGGTATGACATTATTGTATGTTGTAGATGTTCCTCACACATTCCATCAGCAAATTGTGTTCCGCATGGAAGTCAGTCCACATTACTAACAATCCTCTTTCCCCCCTGGTAAACTAGTTAGTTTGTAGTACCTAACCTCAAATTTGTTTTTTTTTAATTTAAAAAAAAACAATGGAACATTTACAGGATAATTGAAAAGAAAAAAATAGGCCAAAAGTATAAAAAAAAAAGATATTTATGAAAATGGATACTCGACAATTATGATAATGAATATTGTAATGGTGTAATGATTACTCTAAGCATACACCATCATACAACCAAAAACATTTGCTCCCTCTAAAAATAGTAAAGTCAGTCAGTACAAAAAAGTAGAGCAGCCATATACATATAACCCTAGAGTAGGACAATGCCTCCTTTCTCCCACTTGTTATCTCTTTGCATTGATAAGACTGATTTTAGTCGCATACTATAAAAAATATGAACAATAATATATAACGAAGTAAGCCACCCACTTTTCTTGTTTATTGATAATATATAATGCTATTCATAAATATTATCATTGCAGAAGATACATACAGTATATAGAATTAGGATTTATGGAAAGAGAACACATTGACCTGCTCTTTCATTTTTAATAACATCTATTCAAAAGAGCAACACACAAGTTTCTTGCACATTCTGAATGAACGGTAGGATAAAAAAATATGGCCTGTTCAAAGTGCTTTTATTGAGTTTATTTGAATAAAGATTATTTCTATTTCTAAAATAAACTGACTCTAAAGTCAAAGTATTATATAACAATGTATAATATTGCAGGACAATTCACACAGCGCCATCTAGTTCTAAGCTAAGCAGACAAGGTTATGGGTACTAGATGACTGATATAAATACATAGATCAATTTTTGCATATATAAATTTTATGTATAAATAGATTATTTAAATTATTAACCGGGACTTAACACGAAAAATTTTATGGCAAATAAAGGTATTTACCTAATACCCGGTTAATAATTAAATTATTATATTATTAAATTATTATAATGTATATTAAACACGAAAGTTTAAAATTAACTAGTATAAATAGATTAGTAAAATACTTGATTTTATTTTATTTATTGTTTGTATTTTAGTAAAAATAATAATGTTAATAATATAATATTCTTACCGCCTACTCCAAGGGAGATATATTGAGTATGCCTAAAATGTCGTCACACACTAAAAATAATATTTATTTTCAGACTGACGAAAACAGCTACCTACTTCGTTTGAAGATAATAGGTGCTGTATCATTGGCTAAAAAGGATATATTTGGTGCTAGGTAAGTAACAATTTATTAATATTATACTAGTTGTAGTCCAGTGGTTGAAATTCGACCTTAATTAATTTCACATTCATTAAGACTATACACAAATATTAAAGACAAATCTATTCTCAATTTGACCACAGACCTTAATAATAAACAAAAGAGTAATATATATGTGTGTCAAACACGCGACATCTTATGTATAAAATTCTCGTGTCACAGTTTTCGTTCCCATACTCCTCCGAAACGGCTTGACGGATTCTCATGAAATTTTTTTAGCGTATTGAGTAGGTCTGAGAATCGGCCAACATCTATTTTTCATCCCCCTAAATGTTAGGGGTAGTCCAACCCAAATTTTTTTTTAAATTTTTAGGCAAACTAACGTTTGCCGGGCATTTAGTAATGATATAAAAAATATAATAGTATAAATTAAAAAAAATATATTAGCATTCTGCACTCCTTTATATAAACGGTAAGTGTGCGAAATTTCATGCTCCGTCCGCGCAATTTCCGAAAAAAGGTGTTTTTACTTTTGTACGAATAATTTGATGGTAAATAAAGGTATTTATTTTTCTTGACGTTTCAACTAGGTTTCATTAGCTGTGGTCACGAGGTGACTGGAGTAACGAATGTCAATGTTGATAGGTGCCGGCAGTTTGTTCAACTACCGTCGTTCGATTGTAGAGGATTTTGTTAGGTTGGACCTTTGGTTGGTTACACCCTTATTTACCATAAAATTATTGGTCGTAAACCCATTTAAATATATTAAGAAGGTGTACTAATTGCGAAAGTTTCAAAGTCCCTTGGTTCTTATTCCGATGTTACCAAGATACTGCATGACAATGGACCCAATTACAGTAATTTTTATTGCGCATTGTATTGGATCAACGCATACCGACATTGTGTCGAATGTAGCTCATTGTAGACCTTCCGATCTCCCATCCAATTCAAACGTGGATCGAAATTACGGCTTGAGCTGAGGTTCGAACATCCAGCGGTGCCCTCAGACCAAAGTCGTATCCGTCAGCCGGGAGTTGGCCTTCAGCCGCTCCATTAGTCCTTCCGCGGGTTTAGTGTGCCATCTGCACTCGCCCTCATCGTTCGGTGAAGTTGTAAAGGCTAGCTGCGGCCAACAGCATTAGAATATTTCAACAAAAAGGTTTAGCTTAGGAGCTCAACTGCGCATGAAACTGGAAAAATACTACGTAATATGCTTTCTTCGTAGATTAAATGCGCTTAAAACCTAGGTTAGATAAAGAAATATTGCCCTCCTTTGTGTGGCTTAAGACTTCCATTTTCCATTAGCTGAGTTGGTTGTGTGAGCTTAGTTGTAAAAAAACAAAATCGTGTATTTAATCTATTGATCTAATCAGCTCCACATGTACGCGGTGTCGGGTCTGGTCCTTTCTGTTTGTGTCATCATCAATCTGTTCTGTTCTGATTTCGTCTATAAGGTAATTATTTTTGCTTATGGATGATAATGGAATGCACCTGCCTGCGCTAACGGTTTACGCTGGTAGTACACCAGTGGAGGATGATAGGAAGAGCGTGAGGTCAGGTCAGTTAGTCCATCGTAATAAATTTACAATGAATTTATCACGATGGTTTCCATGGGAAACCGCGTGGAGGTCAACCTAATATGGTGTATAGTTTCAATCTTTCTCCTCTATTATTAGGTAGTTTCTTTAGTTGATTGATACGGAATTCTTCTCTCTACGGTTACGGTATTTGCTGGTGAAGCATCAGTTGATGATGATAGTACGAGCAAAAGTTTTGTACGGGATTTTTGTTTTTCTATACGAATTACGAGGAATTTGATGAGTGAATTTTTCAATTCAGCAAAATCTTACACTATCTAAATATATATATATAACTCAAAGGTGACTGACGTAGTGATCTATCAACGCACAGCCCAAACCACTGGACGGATCGGGCTGAAATTTGGCATGCAGGCATCCGCTGAGAAAGGATTTTGATTAATTCTACCCCCAAAAGGATAAAATATCGGATGAAAGTTTGTATGAAACTTTGTCAATTTTAAACCGACCGGGCTGAGGCTTTGCATGCATAAAGCTACTATGACGTAGGCATCCCCATAGAAAGGATTTTGATAAATTCCACACCTAATTCCCATTAGGGATATTATCGCGAGCGAAGCCGTGGGCAAAAGTTTTTGAGTAGGGTGGATGGATGGATGGATGGATGGATGGAGTTAAATCTTTCACGCAAAAAACTACTGAACGAATTTTGATAAATACAGCATAGACAGTGCAATAACATGAAGGCTATAAATTACATACGGGTGAAACCGCGGGAACAGCTATTACATATATAAGGAACACCTAGACCATTACAAACAATCATACTCATGAATACAAATATTTGTACTGAACGAGGAATCGAACCCGCGACCATCGGAAGGCGGTGTCTAACCGCTACACCATACTTGAATACTAGAATTCAATAACAGATGGTGAATATTGTTTGTTTGCTAAATGACTGGGACAGGTTCTTATCACAGCGGTTTTGTTCCGGAGTGATTAATAATTTTCTTTTTGTTTCATGAACAATAGCTTGAATATGTTATCTGTTATCAAATGATAACTGTGTATTTTCTTCCGCTCCACATATTTTATGAATTCTATACAATAGTTTTTAATGTATGATAATGGAATGGTGCGCCCGCCTGCGCTAACGGTTTACGCTGGCAAGGCACCAGTGGAGGATGATAGGATGAGCATGAGGTATGAGTTAGCCCAACGTAATAATCACCGTAGTAATCATCGTAGTAATTCACCTTTTCTACGCGTAATAACTACTAACTACGGGTAATCCCTTTCTACGCAGTAAGCCAGTGCTTCGGGGAGCTGGTCCAATTCCTAGACGCTTCATGTTTCTCCAAACACTCCCATAACTCTGTATGTGCTCGTAAAAATCATCCAAAACTAAAAAATTGGCACCAGGAAATTATCAGGATAGTTTCCAGGAGGCACCGCGTGGAGATCATCCTGCCAGTACTTTGCTAGCAATGGGGTCTTTAGTCCATATGCATTTATTAATTACTAGGTATAATTCAAATTCAAATTTAAATTCAAAATATCTTTATTCATGTAGGTCTATTACAGACTCTTATGATATGTCAAATCTGCCGTCAGTTCGGAATGATTTCGAGATGAGAAGAACTGACAAGAAACTCAGCTCGTATTCTTTTCAAATGACTATCAAAATATTTTTATTCATGTAGGTCTATTACAGACTCTTATGATATGTCAAATCTACCGTCAGTTCGGAATGATTTCGAGATGAGAAGAACTGACAAGAAACTCAGCTCGTATTCTTTTCAAATGACTATCAAAATATCTTTATTCATGTAGGTCTATTACAGACTCTTATGATATGTCAAATCTACCGTCAGTTCGGAATGATTTCGAGATGAGAAGAACTGACAAGAAACTCAGCTCGTATTCTTTTCAAATGACTATCAAAATATCTTTATTCATGTAGGTCTATTACAGACTCTTATGATATGTCAAATCTACCATCAGTTCGGAATGATTTCGAGATGAGAAGAACTGACAAGAAACTCAGCTCGAATTATTTTCAAATAAGTGTACGTGTTTACAATTATTGTAAACATGAATTATGATTATATTTTTTGTTTTTTGCATTAGCATATGCTGGTGGTCACTCTATTCTCCCAAATTGAATTTTAATGACTGTGTAATCGGAATGATTTCGAGATGAGAATAACTGACAAGAAACTCAGCTCGTATTCTTTTCAAATGACTATCAAAATATTTTTATTCATGTAGGTCTATTAAAGACTCTTATGATATGTCAAATCTACCGTCAGTTCGGAATGATTTCGAGATGAGAAGAACTGACAATATATTATATATAATCTGGGAACCATTGTCCAGGTCTAATATTATTATTACTAGCTGCGCCCGCGATTTCGTCCGTGTGGAATAATGACTTTGACCAAATAGAGAAAATATATTTAGTTAGATTATAACCTAAAAAAGTTTTATTATCTAGACACGCGGGAGCGTGTCAAAGCCGAGTTCAAGTAAGAGAACTGGCGAGCAGCACCGTGTGTAGTTTTACACGAACCATTTGGATTATTATTACTAGCTGTACCCGCGTGGAATAATGACTTTGACTAAATAAAGAAAATATATTTTGTTAGATTATAACCCAAAAAAGTTTTATTGTTCTACTTAAAATATGACGATACTTTTATACAATCTTTAATCTCCGCTTTTAACCACTTAGAACCATTTTTTCACGCTAAAATGTTCTTTCTGAGGATCTAGGCTATCTGTGTAACAATCTCATTTAAATCGGTTTAGTAGATTTGCCCTTCTTCTTCCGAATACGGGACGTATTCACTAATTTTTAGTAAATAAGTAAGTATCAGAAAATTCATGTGCATTTGTGTTTCCTGCTGTCCGCGCCATCATGTTCACTATTAAGTGCATCTGTGTGACGTATCGGCAAAGGATTGAGGTCTTTTAAGCATGCTTTAATCTCATTGGCCTTTGTTCCCGTGGTACTACTATTAACTTTAGTTTAAAACCCACACACAACAGCATTGTTATTATTATTATTATTACTCAATTCTGACTCCATTCACATTCACAACACATACGGCAATCACGTGTGTTAAAAACTACTTTATGTGACTCACAATATGATTCATTTCGCATTACCCACGGATGATACCTAGACCGTTACTACAGATGATTATAGATGTCTATTAGATTCGAAGTTATGTTCTGCATAGTTTGTAAACAAGCTGACGGCTGACCTCATGTCATTAGTCAGGTCAATCAGAACTGGATGGCTGCATGGTATACTACTACTACTATAGTAGTACTATATACTACTATAGTAGTAGGCAACAGGGGCGGATCGTGAATTTGTGGGGCCCTGGGCTAAATCTACTTAAGGGCCTAGCTACCGTACCTAAATACTCGACTAAAAAAAGCACCGACCAAAAATAAGGGACTAGA